AAGATGCAACACAGGGTAGATCTTCCCCCGAACCATCCAATCAGAGCCTGATAAAGCGTCTGAACTTGTTACCCTCATTTCCTATTTACCCTGCCTGTGGTTCTAATTCAATGGGAGGAGTACGGAACACCAGCGGCGTTATTACAATTTACCGGAGATATGAGCTAGCGCTGCCACGGCAAGGGCTCTGTAAACAAACCTGATGGGAAAGCCACATGCGGCTCGTGACTCTGTAGAGTTCCATTGGGTTGCTGGTTTAATTGCCTCGGGCAGCAGTCTCCTTATTAATACTGTGATGTGCTTTCGATTCGGTTGTGACTGAATAAATAGACTGTGATGCAGTCCCCCCCTCCCCCTCAATGGAGCGAGCCTGTGTTAGTGTTCAGTTATTGTGTGGTACACAAAGGTGAGTGTTTCACTGCTAATGAAAAGGTGCAATTTGTTCAGAGTCAATAAAGGCCTGTATGCTGAGCACAGAGAGCCCTTATCAGTTTCCCAAGAACGCTGCACACAAACCCAAAACTATATGTTCACTGCTAAAGGTTGAAAAGGAAACATGTTTGCGCAGCTGATAACAGTCGGTAATAGTCAGAATTATGTCTGCATGCTAAATACTTACATGTGTTTAAAGGCTGAATCCTAACACATGTCCAAAAACCATGGTATAACCATGGTACCTGTACCATGTCCAAACAGCTAGCTGAATCTCATGAATACATGTCCAGTACACTAGGGCTGAACGATTAATTGCATTGGCGATAATATCGTGATATGAAATAACACGATTTTTCAATCGCAGAGGCTGCGATTACATGGTCACGTAACACGCGAGAGTAAAGAGGTGTGTTCGACTTGAAGATCAGATCGGTGTATGACATTAAAGTACGACGAGAAAAAGCATAAGGAGACGTCCGCTCTCTTATAGCTCTCGCAGTGCTTTGATGACACACACCCATCGATCTAAGCAGCGCTGCTTCAAGTCAAGCGTGGGCCATCAGCAGAAAAAGAAAAGAAATAAAACAGTAAACAGCCAAAGGACGTAACTTTGAATGTGAGATGGATCGGTTTGTGAAAGGGAAGAGAAAAGCCATAGATTAAGTCGCACAGACCCAGGCAGGTGCTGGTCATTCAAAAGCTAAATGCAGACAATATGACGAGGCATAACTTGCTCTCGGCTTCACTACGCTACAGTTGTTGCGTCGTGCCGCAACCTCTCTACACTGGACGCGGCAAAGTGACCATTGCAAATCATTTTAACTTTGTGTCAGTACGTCATAAATAGAACAAGACATCAGTTTAATGTCGGGTTTTGTCGTGTCGCGTCGCATTCAGTGTACACAGCGTCACTGATTATAATGGTTTCTACTGTATTTTGCCGCTCGCGTCCAGTGTGTAGACATATATATATATATATATATGGGAATTTTATGTATGTGTGTTTTACATATTTTAAGCAGTTCATAAACAAATATGCTATAAATGTCATATAAATACATATAAAATTTGAATGTCAAATGATTTAATAAAATGTTAAATATATATGTGTGTATATATACTGTATAATGCTTGTGTGCGTTTGTGTGTGTGTGTGTGTGTGTGTGTGTGTGTGTGAGTGCGAGAGAGAGAGAGAGAAATTATGATATATAATCCATATAACCATTAAAAAAATTCATTAAAAAGAAAATAAAAATTATTTAATGTTTAGTTTACATTAAGCAGTTATACATATATAAATATGCTATATGTCATAAACACATAAAATGATATATTAAAATAATAATGTTATATAATGTATATAATTAGACACGTGTGTATTATTTTATAATACACATTTTTCTTTTAATATACTATTTTATGTAATTATATATAGTCCTTAAATTAAAAATAGGTTTATACAGTATAATAAACATATTAATAATATGTTTTCTATATAGATTTTAAGCAGTTCATACATATAGATATAACAAACATACACAAGAAATATTTTATTTGAAGAAAATGAGGCCTGGTTTTATTTCTTTCTTAAGCATTTGATGTGAAATATGACTTGAACATGTTCTTAAAAGTACATTCTGATTATTAAAAAATAAATGGTTGAAGTATATTATACAATAAAGAACTCTGTATATTAGATTCTGCTTTATTTACCATCATATTAGTTTCTATGGGACATACAATTGGGCACATCTTCAAAGACCAATGCTTTGGCATCATTAGTTCATCATTAGTTCTGCTATCCCTTCACACTCAGCTTGTTTGTAAGTTTGTTTTTCACTAAACTAACATGAAATCTAATTACCCTGATTAGCTTGGCTTCATTCCGAAAAAAAATCGGAAAATGTGACAATGTAATTTAACAAAGTCAATTCAGCACGCAACTGCGCGAGGCAAAGGGAAAAAGTGATAAGAGCGGCCGAGAGCCAATCAGAGAAGAGGGAGAGCTGCTATCGGTCATGCTAAACCACCTGACTGGTGCTGAGAGACGCTTTGCTTGTGGCTC